CCGGGCCGCTGGTCACTCAGGAGAGGCCCCGCCCCACAGCGCGCGTCTCGGCGGTCGTGGCCCTCTGGCCAATCAGCGGCCTCCCCCTTCCGGCGCGGGAGCCAATCCCAGGGCTGCCGGGGGGGAGGGGGCGGGGCTGGAGTGAACCGCCTGGTAGCGGGAGAGGAAGCCTGGCTGGGCGTGCTCCTCGAGAGAAGGATGGCGGGGGATTGCAGCCGGCCAGGCCACCTTTCGTCACTTCGTGCTGTCTTGCCGGAGGCAAAACGCCAGAGCGCGGTCCAGTCCAGCCAGAGACAGATCGCTGCCGTGGTGCCTGCATCCTGCGGGCTGAATGACTGGGCCCTGCTGTGCCCGGCACTGGTGCCTGTTAGACCCCCTCTGGGGTCAGCAGCAAGTGGACTCGCGTCCAGTAGGTCGCGGCTTCCAAACTTGTTTTCTGCATTCGTCCCGAATGAAACCAAGGGTGCTTTACTCCAGCGCGAGAACACAGAGCTTTGGGGTGTTCCTTTGAGAAACTGTATTGAAAAAAATTCTTAAAGCCAAAGTTGAAAGGTGCATGTAGGATTCCTATTACAGATCTGATCTTCAGAAGCGCTGACATCGAGAACCTTAAAACTTGTACACTTTTATTGCCTCTAACCTCATTATCTTAGTCATATATAAAACTGTAGGGAGCATCTTTCAGGACAAGCTCAGTGCTTCGATCCTGAACTCTTAAGGGCCACGTGCATTATGATGTCTTCTTTAGCCACCCTATGAAAATTGTCGCATGCTCTCCCCATCCCTTTCCTTGCTTAATTTCGATTTTTAGTGCTTACCACCACCTCAAATGCCCTATATTTTACTTTTTCTTTTTCTGGCTATTTTGTTTCCCCATTAGAGTGTAAGCTGGGAATGTTTTGTAGCTTTCTGCTTCTACTATTGAAAATCTGTGACAGGGCCTAGTATATCGTAGGTGTTAAATTTATTTACTGAATTAATGTAGTTATGAACATGCATTACTATTGAATATTTTAAATAATTATTTTGTAAAGAATCCATTTCTTTTCTTAAAAAAGATCTTGTAAATCCTACCCCCCCAATATGATTTTCTAAACATGATTGGAGATTACTGAACAGTGTTCTCTGAACAAAGAAAACAGCCTCAGTTACGGATATCTGAAAAATGAACTAATTGCATCGCTTAATATTCAGCACAATTTGCATTCAATATTCAGCAGCATTGTTTTTAATACTCTCATGTACTGCAAAACTTACATAGCCCCCCCATCCCCACCCCCACAAAACTATTCAAGCTGGGCCCAGGATTTAGCTCAGTAGCACCACGCCTGCCTCACAAGTGCAAAGTCCTGAGTTTGATTCCCCAGTACCAAAAAAAACTATTCAATCTGGGCACAGTGGCATCTGCCAATAGACTCAGCTACTTAGGAGGCTGAGACAGAAGGATCTTGAGCCCAGGAGTTCAAGTCAAGCCTGGGCCCTTTGGGCTGATTGTTCAGGCCCCTGTGTTTAGAGCTCTCTCACCTTCCCTCTGTCCTGGGGAGAAGGGTTGAGACGATGGGAGTCCAGGTATCCTGCACAGCCAAGATTGGACCAGCTGGCACCTACTGTACCTTTGCCCACTTTACCATGTGCTTTCCCCGAACAGGACAAAGTGCTGTGTCTGGGGAAGGGCTTGCAGATCCTGAGCTGGCACCTGCATCTGAATCCCAGCTTTCATGCTCCACAGCTGTGCAACCTTGGGGAAGTTACTAGGTGTTCTGTAATAGTATAGTACAACCCTGCTTTGTAGGATTGCTCAGAGGCTTAATGGACTGAACAATGCTTGGCACTCGATGGGCATTGTCAGTTAGCACAGTGATCTAATATGGTGGTTAAAGATCCAGTCTCCAAAGCCAAAAATGTGAGCCCAAATCCTAGGTCTTTCACTCTCTAGCTGCAGGAGTGTGGATTAGTTTCTCCCTCTCTCTCCCTGTCTCTCTCTCTCTTTTGCTTTGTGTGTGTGTGTGTGTGTCTGTGCACACACGCGCATGCACAAGCAGCTATGAAATGAGGGCAATGTTCTTCATGAGATTGTTAAGAGAGATAAATGGCTATTAAACATACAGCACTTAAACAAGGTCTGGCCGCTTCTTATCTATATCAATACTCAGCAAATATTCCCTGTCAGCACTGTTACCAACTTTTTGTATGTTCAAGGGGGAGGGGTGTATGAGGGATTGAACCCAAGACCTTGCACTGAGCTACATCCCATTCGTTTTTTGAGACAGGCTTGCTTGTGATCCTCCTGCCTCAGCCTCCCAGAGTACCAGACTTACAGGTGTGTAACAACACCATGCCTGGCTCGTTATTGACTCATATTTTTGTGTTTTCCAGAGTCTTGACTCATCCTCATTGTATGAACTTGAGCTTGACCTCCTCTTTTCTATTTATTTATGCAGTTGTTTACTCCAAACTCTTTCAGATTGAATTTATGATTGTAGGGCCCTGTCCCTGGAGGGTGTTCTCAGGGTAATCCTAAAGGACAGCATCCAGTGGCTTATTTGAAATACCCTTGGTCTACCAAGGGCAGTTTCTTATCATCAGAGGTGATCAGCAATTGAGCAGACCACGATGTGACATAGCTAGACAATTAGATGACCCATATCAACCCCCATTCCCTTACACATCGCAACAGACATGTCAAAGCAGGTATGCTGTGGATAGGATTCCTAAATTTATTTGAAAATTGAGCTACATGAGATCTAAGATTGCTTCTGGCTTTGTTGCTGTCTTCAAAAATGTGTCTAATGGAAAAATTTGACAAAATTCTTGTGCCTAATTCAACATAGTTCCATAAAGAGTGGAGCACAGAAGCTGGGTGTGGTGGCACATACCTGTAATCCCAGCATTTGGAAGACTGAAGCAGGAGGATTGCTGTGAGTTCAAGGCCAGCCTGAGCTGCATAGTGGATTCAAGGTCAGCCTTCACTACATAGCAAGACCCTGTCTCAAAAAACTAAAAAAAAAGGGAATGGAGCCCAGCAGTGGACTCAGAGGTGGACCGCTCAGCAGCACCTCATAGTTTCATGCTAATTCCTAACCTTGTCTCCTCTAGCAGCCTCAGTGGTAGGTACTTATTAACCAACTTAGATATGAGTCCTACTTTGTACCGTGTGTTTGGATGTGTACGTTGTCCTGAGCCTTAATCACTGTCAGGACACTGCTGGGAACATCGCTTGGCGAGGAGTCAAGATGAAATTATGCTACAGGGCAAGTGTAGAATGCCAAGTCAGATTTAAATAAGTAACAGCTCAAAGGTGGGAGATCTGAACAGCATGTAGGAGTCAAGTCCAAGGTGCCACTAGGAGTGGTGTGGCTGTCCCCAAGCAAAGGTTTCCTGCAGCCCAAGAGCTTCAGAGGATAAGATGTGAGCGTATAATCCATGATGCTTTGCAGGGAGGTGGGTAGGTCTGGGCCGCCTGCCTTCACTTTGCAGGCCTGGGCTGCCTGCCTTCACTTTGCAGGCCTCTCAGCGTGCTCTGTACACCTGGGCAGCAGAGGCTGTGCTGTTTTGATCTGCAGAAAGACCAAGTCAGAAGTGGAGGGGTGGAGGAGAAGACTGGAAATCAGAATGCCCTATGTATGCTTTCCCCCACATGGAGGCATTTCATTTGTTCTCATTTAGTACATTCCTAGGGGAAAACAGTTCCAGGGTTTACCCTTCTGTGTGTTTTTGTTTTTCTTCCTCTTGGTCCATGATGCCAGTGGAGGTCGTCAGCACAGGGAGACCAAGCTGACAAACGAGAGCAGATTATTCTACCATTTTTCTAGATCTCTGAGTTCCACGTCCAATCTGGGGCCCATTACTCCATGTTGTAACCTGCCTAGGAGGTTCACAGGAAGTTTTCCAGCTGTGAGTTCACTGATGACTTCAAATACCTTTAAACATTTTAATGCCATTCAGTCAAGCTTTAATATGCTTATTTCTGATGATTCTGAAATGTAATGTCCAATTTATAACAAGGCACCCTTACAAGCAGTGGTGTGCTGGAGCCAGCTTGACCAGGCCTGGGGGAGTTGGCTGGAACTCTTTCTTCCCAAATTCCACTTCAGCAACATCACTATTGGTAGCTTAAAATCATCCTTGATGAGAGCATTGTTTATACAGTGGACGTTGGCAAATGCTGCATTTACCAATGAGACTGCTGCAAATCTGACAAAACCAGTCATCTATGGCTTGGATCCTAAATGTCTTCCAAAGGCTCACGTGTTGAAGGCTTGAAGCCCAGCAGTAGATGGTGGGACTTAAGAGATGGGGCTGCTGGGAGGAAGTTAGGACACTGGGCATCTTGAAAGGGACATTGGGACCTGCTCCTTCCTCTGTCTCTCTGCTTCACAGCCACCATGAGGTGAGCAGCTTTACCCTGACATGTGCTCCCCACTATGAGGTTCTGACTGTCAACAGGACCAAGGAATCATGGACTGAAGTTTCTGAAACCATGAACCAAAACAACCTTTTTCTCCCTTAAGTTGATTTTTCTGAGGTGTTCTGTCACAGTGACAGAAAACTAATGTGCCATTCAAAGCACCTGACTCACTGCTTACAAGTTTAATAAATCAGAACTTTTAGAAACAGATTTGAAGCAGCAAAATATGGTTTATA